AGCGTGCTGTGGCAGCCCTGGGCTGAGGAACACCCCCAGCTGGTGTTTAGGGGGTGCTCTGCGATGCCCGAGAGGAAAAGATGGGCAGATAACAGTCGCTCATCACTGCTTGTGTTTGTCTGGCATAGTAATTACAGAATTAAACTCGGGTTATATTGTAGGATTGATTGCTGATTTGCTATTGGGGAAAAAATGTTGCTGAAACGTGACAGAATGGGTGAACTTCAGCTCCTGAACATTAAAATGCTCTGTTTCCACTTTTTAGGAGGAAGCTTTAACATTAGGAAATGGCAGAAGCAGCTTTTCATCCTCCGAGAAGGAAAAGAAGAGTGTTTGAGACCTATGAGGCTCCCTTTCCTGTGGATGTAGGTGGGAAGGATTTCAGAATATGCCAAGCTGAAATTATGAACAACAATGTTATTGTGAGGAACCCTGAAGACATTGAACAGCTCTATAACAAGGTGCTCTACCCTGCTTGTACAGTATTTTTAGTGTGCTAGACATAGGTAGAGCATAATACTTCTTAAAATCTGCCCGCTGTTATATTTTCCTTCCCCCGTAGCCTCCAGTGTTTTTGTGTATCTCCTTCCTCTCCTGAAACCAGTACAAAACATAATTCTGTGTCAAATGTGAAAAGTGTTTAATTCTTATCCCAGCAAGCAAATTCTGGAATGTAGTGATGTTATGAGCTAAAAAACAGCTGCAAAGACTCCATGTTTTTTACGCTTATTTCTCCTTTTAATGTTTTATGCAACTCTACAAAAGCATTTTCTTGTTTTTAAAGCTCAGGAGGTTTGAATGTTAATGTTTTATAAGTGTCTGTATCATTCTTTTAACTTCAGTGATTTCTTGCTGAGTAAAATAAGCTACATCAAGCCTCTTATGTCCAAGTGCCAGCTCACCACCATCCTTATGCGGTCGCTTTATCCATCTCTTTGGTTTATATTACGCATCATCACAGCACTGATACACAGGTGTTCTGCTTCTGCTTTCAAAAGTCTGCCTGGAGATGCTGACCGACAAATACTTAGAGCGAGGAAAGGGAGTCAACACCCTCCACCGGTTAAATCTTGGAGTGCAGGTGTTTAATGCTGAAGCAGTTGTCAGAAGCTAAGGCACAGCATTTGGGCAGAACTTAAATGCTGCAGGATTTCGTTGTTCGTTTGGGTTTTTTTTCAGCTGGTCTCAGCAGTAAATACTTTATATTTGGAAAGAGGTTAATTTTTGTTTGATGATATAATAAGGATTTTTCCATTTCTTTGAAGGGCTATTTTGGAAAAGGTATCCTTTCAAGAAGCCGGCCGGTGTACAGCATTTCCGATCCTTTGCTGGTTGCAAAGTGGCAAGGTAAAGTGTGCCCCTTTGGGCTTCCGTCGCTATTCCAATAGTACTTTTCAGTTTTCTTCGCTCATTGAAATTGCACGGTTATAAATTACACGTAGAAAACTAATCTCTCTACTGGGTCAGATCAAGGATCTCTCTCCCTCATACCTTATCTCTGCTGGTGACCAGCAAAACCCAGGAATGGGGAGCATAGCTCAGGAGCTCCCTAGTGCATGCTTGTGGCCTCACTGAATTGTCTAAGTACAGGTGTCATCCTTAAACCTCTCTTCCTGTAACTGTCCACATCTTCTTGGGTTTGATCGGTGGATTTTAGTGTCTGTGAAATCACAAGGCAAGGATAAGTGAAATTTTTATTCTGCTTATAGCCAGTTACATCTGGTCTTGCTTGTTTATAGACTGTCTTTCTAGAGGCCCTAGAGAAACAGCGTGTTTAGCTGGTGCAGGGTGTTTGTTATCTCCGGACCTTTTCTAGTTCTGCTGTGTCCTCGAATACAAATTGGACCACAGTGGCATAGAGGCTTTTAAGTGTGTGTAAATATTAGGCCACAGATTACCTCAGTGCTCAAAATCACATGAAAACATTTTTATTTTGATGAAACAATGTATGATTTTCTTTATGCAGGTGCTAATGTAAACATGCCTATAATTACATCAAGGAAGTAAGTCCGTTTACATTATTCTTGTGATTTTTTTAGAAAACGTGATTCTATTTTATGTTTTATCTTACTGGTTTTCAGATAGTTGGCTATCTAAATGCTAAAGACTTGCTTCTATTTCTTTGTATTTCATTTATAAATCACATTAGAAAAATCAGACATAGTCAGTGATATTCAGCATGATTTTCCATGTAAACTCGTGCGTATTGATTGCTGGCTAGAGGCCAAGATTGAGTGCATGCATAGTAGTATGGGTAATTAATTCATAAGAATATCAACCATCATAAACTTGTTCTTCAGCTGAGGAGGAGAAAGAGAAGTTTCTGGGGCAGGCTATTTAAAATAAGTTCCTCAATTCTTTACTGAATTAATATAGCGTGGGCTGAAGCAGCTGTTGAACTTTTATAATGCATAGAGAGATTTATTCTTTTTTTAAAGTCTTTGCTTTGGACCACACGTTTATTTTGATCTGTTTGAACAGTATGTGAACTCGCTGTAAGAGTGTGCAATTCAGTTACTCTATTTAACTCTAAAAGAATTTGAATTTACTTAAATTCAAGAGTTATGCTCCCTCAGTCCTCAACTTTAGGGAAGGCAAACAGTAGCAATACTACTACTACTGCTACAACAGTTACTACTGCTGGCAGAAGCACTTGTCTTTTTTCCTAGTCTTTGCGACTGCTTCGTGTGCCAGCAGATAAGGCTGAGCATCTGGGAAAGTGTCATTAGTTGGGTGCAGAAGGTACATCATGACTTGTGTCAGTAGAGACCTCAAAGGGCAAGTTATAGGATAATTAAATTGAAGAACAAGGAAGAGTCTGCTTTTTTGCTTGTAACAACAACAACAAAAATACAGCACTGAATGATGTAGCTTTATTGTGAGACTTCAGAAGGACTTTTATTTTGTGTTGACACATGCAATTTGCATTTAGTTGTCTCTGCAGTTCTTTATTACCTGGTCTGTAGTTGCTGTGGTAGGGTTTTATTTGAGGAAATAAAGAATCTTGTATTAGAGTTGTCCAGGTTTGAATAAGGACAGCTGCGCTCAGCTACCTGGAACTTCCACAGGATGAAGTTTGATATTTTCACCTCGATATTAATGCAATCTGCCAAGAAGAAATGAGTAATCGGGCACTAAAAACTCTTATCGTAAAGGAAGACTATTAGAAGTATTTACAGCTATCAGCTGCTGCCTCACTGACAGGGTTATTGTTATTTCGCAGGGATGTGAGAGTTTCAGCTAAAACTGAAGGTTAGTTAATGCGTAAGATTTTCACGCTGGTGGTTTTGCTATGCGCTCGCTGTTTCCAAGGCAGTTAAACCAGAGTTTGAAGATCCTGTTCTCGGTAGTTACCTGTACAATAGATGAGGCGTGTAAGAGATTTATGTGCAAAGTCTTGTTGCGTGTCTTAACCGTGCAAACCCTGACAGCGAGGTGGTTTTGTAGGGAATTCAAGCTTAAGGTTCCATGAGAGAAGGGAGGTTTTGCCTAGTGCTTCTCGAAGCTGTGTAGCAGTAGTCCTTGACGCGTGGTTCTTGCGCAGTGTTGTGTAACAATGTTTGTTGCCGCGGAAATTTAATATTTAAAAAGCAAGCCAAAGAAGGGAGCAAAATCTTGATGCTCACTGATATCTGCAGTTTCCTGAAGACTGGAGTCCTGTTACATCGTGCGTGTTCTATTTTGCATTACAGTTATTGGGGGTACATTCAGATTTGTTCTGTGAACTAAGCCGAGTCTTCCATTTTTGTTATTTTTCTGAGTGGTTTTTTTTAAGATGTTAAAGAATGTAATGCCCTGGAACTTCTCATATAAGCTACTTGTTTACTAGGTACCAACGTCATGTTCAGTGGGCTAAAAGTATTTTGGAAGCTCAAGGATTTGATGACAGCTCGGTTACCAAAATTCTTGAAAATTACACTAAGGCTGTTGAGCTGCCGCTTTTGGAAGAGAGTGGAGCTGAACCAGTAGGTAATACCTGCAATACAGAAAATACAGAACTTCCCAGGCAATCTTCTACAGCTCCTGGAAATGTAGTAGCCCAGAGCTCTGAGAATGAGAACGAAGGCTGCAAGAAAGTGTGTTTGGAAGGAGACGCAGCATCTGATCTCGTGGCTCCATGTGAAGAGCTGGACCAAGGTGACAGGAAGGAGAAGGCTGAAGTGTCCCGCCAGACGCTTGGCTCTGTCGGGTGTTGCGGCTGCGAGGCTGAGGGGAGCGCTGAGCAGCGGCCTCGCAAGATGGTCAAGTCTAAAGAGCGTGCTCCAGAATACGTGCTGGTGCAAGAGGAAGAAGAAGGTAGCCTATGCCCTGAGGATGACTCTGCTCACGCGCAAGGAAATGTGAGGATAAAAAGTGTCCTTTTAGAAAAATTACAGCATCATATTTTCAGAGTTCAGTATTTTTTCCTGTTTAAAGTTTTGGTAACGTAGTGAATTTTTCTTGTAGCTTGTCAAGAAGGAAAAACTAGTATGCAGAAGAAATCCATTTAGGATTTTTGAATATTTACAACTCAGTTTGGAAGAGGTACGTTTCAAGTACAGTGCAAGTTGTTTTACTTCTAGTCTGAAAAGTAAACATTAATCTGTGTTACAACATAATTTAATACCTGTCCCTAAAGCACAGACTTCTCCCATATCGCCTAAGTATTTGGATTTGTCTTAGTCCTGAAACTTGTTTATAATAACCTGTGATAATTACACTGTATGTTTAAAAAAAATAAATCTGTAGGACCCAATCCTATTTGCTTTAGGTGAATAATCCTACTGACAATGGCACCAGTGATAGGATTTAAGTATAGAAATACTATGAATATAACACTTACATAAATCCTACACCAAGAGTCTACAGCACATGCATAGATTTATTATTTTTTTGTAGTGCTGTGTCTGTTGAAGTGTAAAGGTCATGAAGAAAACTTCCAAGCACCTTGTTTGATGCCAATAGGATTCTTGCATAAAAATAATTTGAGCCTTTACTCTTGCATGGAATATAAACTTCACGAAGAGTCTATCAGTTAAACTTACTCTGTTTATTTTGCAGGCTTTTTTCTTGGTGTATGCTCTGGGATGTTTAAGTATTTATTATGATGAGGTAAGAGATTGGATTGATGTTTCATTACCAGGGTTACCACTAGTTTCGGTGTCTTTTGGTTTGAAATTTTTACCTGCTGTGGCAGTATTTTATGCTGTTAATTCTGAAGGAGGAAACATCAAGCAGAGTAATTAGGAGGTTTTTCTTAAAAGTGACATTTCATAAACAGAAATATCATTAAAGTTTTGCATTTGTCAAGGCAAATATATTTAAGCACCATCTTTCTGCAGAGAAAGGATCTTCTTGTAACTTAGGGAAAGCAGATACGAGAGGAGGAGTAATACGGTGAATTGTCTTCCCTTCCAGAAACAGGAAAAGTTGTTGGATTTTTAACCATTGATCTATGGGTATATCAAACTAGTATTAATGCAGTGACAAAGTAGTTGCAACCTGTACTTCTAGATTTACCAGATTTTCCTTTACACGAGAGCATTATGGAACTGATCGTGAAATGCTAAAAAGCAACAACAAAGGAAAAGTAAAACCAAACATAAAAAAAACCACTAAATGGAGGTTTCAGTGTTTTATCTAAGGATTCCATGTTTTATTGCCTGAAGTTCGTGCTCTTTGCAGTGCTGTTTGATATTTGGCTGTTACACTCAGCTGCACACAGCGTTCAGGATCCGTTAACGGTAATGCCTTTGTGATTTTAGGAGCCCCTAACTGTTTTGAAGCTATGGGAGGTTTTCAGCAAAGTGAAGCCTGATTTTAAAACTACCTACATGGCGTATCACTACTTCCGCAGCAAGGGTTGGGTCCCCAAAGTCGGACTGAAGTACGGAACCGATCTCTGTGAGTAGCTCCCTTAAAAAAAAAAGGAATCATTTGCAGCTGGCTTCTGTTCAGGCAGCGCAAGGCTCCAGTGCCAAAGACTAATTCAGCGAAGAGGAGCCCTGTGGCTGGAGCGGGCTCTGCTGGCTTGCAGCTGGCAAACCCCACTTTTGGCTGGACTAGGGGGTAGGATACGAGCGGAAAGTAACATCACGGATCCAGTAGCTGAAGAGAGAGCTTGAAAGGCCTGTTGTTTTGCTTCCTGGGGTTCATAAGTAATACAGGATTGCACGGAAATTCTCATCCCAAGTTTCTCTATCCCCTTCTGAACACACCCTCTGCAGTGTTAGCGTGACAGTCTGTGGAGTAGCAGGTTTGCATCTAGATCCCAGTTCACATCAAAGTCCGTTCATCTCATTTTTCAGTGGAAGTGGGACAGCTGCTGAACTTTCCCTGCATGGTTTTGGGTTGGTTTTATTTTGTTTGGGTTTTTTTTTTAGGCGGTGACTTGCTCGTTTGATAATGGCAGGGTTTTTACAGAAGTAATTAGTGTCCATAATCCCTTGCTAAGTGATTCAAGAACTACATCCAGCTCGTATCAACATAAACAGTGCAGTAATGCCTGTCATTAAAAAAAAAAAATCTCCCTTTGTGCACACTTTCCTGTAATGTAAGCACGCAAAGCAGCTGGTGTTATATGATTTGGGGGGGTTGCGTACTTGAGTACGTCAGGGCTGTGCTGAGGTAGTCTTTGAGATCAGTGTTGAGGTTTGGCTGAACTAGTCATCACTGTTCGTAGTACCTTGGCCTATAGGTGGAGTTTTGCTACCGGTCGCCTGATGTGTAGGTGAAACTGATACTAGTTTGTTCCCAGTTCGTTTGTGTTCTCCCCCGAGTTTGGTGTTAGTGTATCCTGCCTTTGGATTTGTGCCAGGCAGAGGAAGTGGATTCCTTTAAGGCTCGTCGGAGTTCTGCCTGACTCCTGAGCGTGTCTGGCTTCTTCGGTAGTACCACCTTGGAGTTGGTGTGACCACAGCTGCTTGTAACGGATAACTGGCAAATCGTGGTTGCAACTGGGAGGAAGTGCTGCTCCTCATTTTCCTGATCGGGTCTATGCTAGCCAGCTGGATACGAAAAGTTGCGCTAATTAAAGACAATCCCCTCTTGCAAGCTCATGGCAAAGGAGGAAGTGGAACCATTTGACTCTGTTGCAGCAGTCCAGCTGCACTGAAACGAGTCTTGTGTACCCTTGTATAAAGAAGGAGCTTTCAAGGGGTCTGGTGGCCAGCATGAAAGAACTTGTGCCCTGTGCCTCTCCTAAGATAGTGAGAAAAATTGCCTGGAACAGCATTCGATGGCTTATTGTGATCTTTTACTTGCACTCCAGTGGCTCAACTTCTGCTGCAAATGCAATGTTAAAAGCATGAGTCTGTTGCAGAAAAATTCCATCCTGCACGCTTTCCCATGGCAATTGCTCACTGTCCTTTGGCTTTTCTACTTTATCTTTTCCCTGAGTCCCCCTGCTGCACCCACTTGTTTTTTTTTCTGTCTCTTCTCACTCTCTGCACTTGCTGGCATGGCTTAATTCTGAGCAGAATTCAAAAGTGCTGAAGCTTTGTCTTGTGGAACTAAAACTTACAAAACGTTTGAAAATGTTTATGGACTGTGGTGCTACAGGTGGATGGAAACTGATTATCTAATGAAGGTGTTTCTCTTTCATTTCAGTGCTGTATCGAAAAGGCCCGCCCTTCTATCATGCGAGGTTTGAAGCTCATATTTCTGTTTGATTCTAGTTTCAAATTAGTAAATTTCTCTCACACAAAGCACATCTTTTTCACTGACTAGATGCATTCATACTTAGAATGCAAAATTCCATTTAGCAGAGCTACTAAAAAACACAATTCCATTGAATTCACAAAACAGTAGCAAGACATTAGTAAGTTGCATCAGGTATATTTAGCACCTATGTGACGAATGCGCTCAGGAGCATAATTCAATTTAGTAATTCTGACTTTTAAAAGTGTATAGTAGGGATGATTTTTGCAATTTAGGAGGAAGAACTTTTACGGGGTGCTAATTGTCTGTATTTTTTAGCTAGTCAGGTTGAACTCCTAGATAGCAAAGTGGTTATGAACATCAGATTGGCATTCATAAGAGAATGCTACAAACGTCAGCAGAAGACAGGGAAAATGCCAGTAAGCATCTTCATGTCATCATCTATCTCTTTTCGTAGTAGAAAGAGACTTAAGTTTCACAACTTGCTTACCGCATGCTGATGTATTGCTTAGCACCAGGTTTTAGGCACTAGTTCTTAAGTTTCATGATCTTCCTAAAATGCTCATTCTCTTTCCGTGAATCGTCCTGTCTGCTTTGCTTCCCAGCTACTCTGTCCTTGCGGAGTTAGTTGACGATAATTTTGAAGGTTCTCTTCGCAGACCGCTCAGCTGGAAGTGCTTGTCTGGGTTGAACAGAACAACTGTTAATGCTTCTAAGGTAAGTACAAGATGCCAGCTTTAAAATAGCTTCCAAATGCTAAATGTACAGTTCTGTTCGAAAGAACAGGGAGTTGGAGTAAGGCTGGAAAGAGCAGACTGACCAGAAACAGGATTCTGAAAAACATGTTGAGTTGCCTGTAGGCAAACAAGTTATTGTTTTGGGTTTTTTTTCTTTTGAACAGTGGAACTGAAAGTTTCTGAAAGATTTTCTCTGCATTAGAGCCTTGGACATAGTGCTTCCGTGCTCAGAGCCGCGGTGCTCAGGTCTTGCACTACGATTTTTGTTTAGTTTTAGCAGGATCCTGCTTCGATAAGGAAGATGAGCATGTTATACAGCTCTCCCCAGCTTGGTTTGCAGAAGGCACCCTGTGGGAGACTTGATACCTGCATTTCTAATTAATCTAAAACTCGTATAGAAAGAAATCGGTTGCAATTCATGTGTCTGTGTTTTCTGTTTACCAACAGGAACTTATGCTGTGCTATTTGATTAGACCGTCCGACATGACTGAAGAAGAGATGTCGACACCAGAGTGTATGAGAAGAATTAAGGTTCAGGTGAGTAATTACTTCTGTCCTTCGCCTGTGCAGCGTTGCCCAGGGCTAATGGAGAGACCGCTCGAGCTGTCACTGGCTCTTTTGCCTGCCCTGGGTTTCGCACGTGGAGCTCCTTTGTGCCCCATAGCACGAGAAGTGTGTTGCAGGCTTTTTAAAGATTTCACATCTCCTAATCTAAATTTTAATGTTGCTGCCACTGTGAATGTAAGCATTTGCTTGGGGAAACACAGATACCCATGGAGACCATAAGGTTTAATGTATGTTTGAAAATGGAGAAAAATGTGTGGACACCAGTTCACTTCAGGAACAAATGTAGTCATCTGAGTTTTTGCAGTAGTCCCATGATACATGTCAATTTGGTAAAGTCTTAATCCCCATCCCTCATCCATTATCCATACCTTTTTTTTGTCTGTCCATCGTAATTGCTGTTTTTAATTTTCAGGAACTGATTGTAAGTCGTTGGGTTTCTTCCCGTGAGCGCAGTGAGCAAGATGAATTTTGACTCTACAGGAAACTAACTTTTTTTAAACACCACTTCGTGTTATTTTTTTTACTTGATCTTCTCATGATGAACCATTGCCTCAGAACAGTTTCTATCAGTGTATTCCATTGGTATGTATAAATGCTATTTAAAATTAGATATATCTAATTACCGGAGAGAATGTTGTATTGAAAAACGTCACTGAACTGTAATAATGTGTATGAAGGGGAAAAAATTAAAGCTGTGTCCCAACTGAGAATACTTGTTTGTCTCCTTAAAGCTTACAAGCCATGTATGTTTGAGAGACTGTGGTGATTCACAGTGGTATTCTTAACGGTCAGACAGACCCAGGCGTTCCTCTGGGCAGACACTATGGCCTGCAGCCCAAATGCCTGCCCAAAAGCCGAAGCAGCATGGGATCAAACCGTTTTCTTGGAATACCTCTTCGGATTTGAACCTGGGAATTGTGAGGCTAATTGCATTCTGTAGCTCAGCGCGGGGCCCTGCGTTTCTTCAGAGCGAGGACTTAAACCTGACAGTCCTCATGCTTCGTGCTGGTTTTCACCGAGTTTGTGTGGAGCGAGGTGTAGGATGGCGCTGAGCTGAGCAGTTCTGGCTTTCTGTGCTGAGGGCCTGCTGCTTTCTAACTTCTGTCCAAGATTTAAAGATCTAGGCCGCAGGTTCCTAAACATGATGTTTACTGTTGCTAAGCCACATGTGGAAAACAAAGCAGCCAATCAACCCAGCAGGCATTCAGCCGTCTTCCAAGCGGAGGCAGGAGGTTTAAGTGTCAGCTACACCGCATTTCAAGTATTGCTGCTTTAGGTTCGGGCAGCAGAACTCCATCGTGGTGTCTGAGCAGCGGGCTTCCTTGCTTCACCGCGCCGTGAAGGTTTTTGTTTTTCACTCCCGCTGTGCTGCAAGGGAACGCATTTGCTACAACAGCAAGGGTACACTAGAGCTGGTGACAGGGGCACAGTTTTGGGTTTTCTTTCTGATCTTTTCATTCCCTACAGAAGGGGGTTTGCTCCCTGGTCACAGGATGTTTTCCAGGGCTGGGAAAAATTTAGTCAGCTCAAGCCGTTCTCGCCAAACACGGAACCACAATCTTGTTTCATTGGGTGGTTTAGATTGCAAAGCCTGAATGTGCAGTGGGGGTGCAGCTCCAAAGTGGAATTGCTTCTAGTCTTTGCTTTCGTTTAATATGACTTCTGTGGGAAAGATGTCAGATGAAAATGCTAATTGCAGAGCAGCTTTTTTTCAAGCTGAGCAGGTAAGTATGTGTTGACTTTATGTAGCAACGTGTTCTGTTTCTAGCTGCAGGTGACAGCACTTCACGTTTACTACTGTTGTATCAAGTAACTTACATGAATACTTTCAGTGCAGAGTCAGGCTGTGAGTAGATTTTAAAAGAGATTAATGTAAATATTGCCAACATGTCTCTGGAGCTGGGCATGAATTGGATATAATTTTTTCTCACCTTGCTAGGAACTGTTGTGCACCAGGGGTCTGTGCTACCTCTGGGGGTGGTTTAAGCAGTGCCTGTATGGATGTGGGAGATGAGAAGACAAGTGTTTGCTGTGTTTCCCATAGCAACACCAGGTATCTTTTCATATGCAGAATTGTTTTAAGCATGTACTTAGTTGCTTACCAAAGACTTGACTTAAAAAACCAGAATTATTTTTTTACCAATACCACAGGTTTTTATTGTGAGCTGCAGGACAGGGTCATGATAAGGTAGGAACCTTAAAGGATTCTGAGGTGAAGAAAACCAGCAGAAACGATCCTGTGCTCTGCAGGCAGTGCTGGAGATCACAATCGGAGCGTGTCTGCAGCGTTGCCTATGTTCCTATGTACGGCTCTGTGAAAGGACAGTGTATCAGCAAATCAGTCATCGTTTTCTGCTCTGGGCTTTAGGCTGTGCCTTGCACATAGAGGTCCTGATGTGTCAAGGTGCTTTTATTGGCGTATACAATGTCATCTGGACAAGGTGGGAAGGGAAAATAGTACGTTATCCAAGTAATTTTTCTTTTCCTTTACAGGATACTACTCTGAGGAACCCTTTTGTGTACCTACAACTGCTTGTAAATGGAATACTGGCAAAAGCTGGAGAAGCTTTAGACTTGAAGTATTTGTAACTTGTTTTATTCTTCTTCTAGTGGAAAGAATCCCAGCTCTTAGAAAGGTGGTTTCTTTGTTCTTTTTACTGAAAGAAACTGATAGCATCTGCTTATTTGCTGCTTTTCAACTTCAGTTTTGTAAGATCTGCCAGCCCGTCTCTTCTCTCTGCACAAACCTTCGTGGCAGATTGTCTTTAAAGACTTTAAAGAAAAAAGAGTTCAAGAATAGGTAAATGAAATTCATGGTCTGAAGAGCCTGAGACTGACTTGATTTTAGGGCACATCAGAAACTCCTGCTGACGGAGACTTGGGAAGGAAAACAGTGAGATCTGCTTCTCAGACAGAATGTTCTTTTCCCATTCACACTTTTGTTAGATGAACAAGTCTGAACTCTCCCCCCACCCACGCCCAGCCTTGATCAATTCCTCGGTGAATCTGAGAGCTGTAAAGAAAATATTCTCTGTCCTTGCCTGAAGGCATCTGGCTTCTTGAGTCTTTCTCACAGCTTTTACTCCAGGTTTTTTGGCTTGGAGCTGCCCCCTGACTTCTGCCTCAGGAGCTGGGCAGTGCCTGCATTGCCGTGGGGCAGGAGCTGCACTGGAACCACAACTGGGAAGCTGTGAGGATGTCCTGGACCATGATGCTGGTTTTG